AAACAATACATTAAAAACAATTTAAAAAATGAAATAAAAACATAATGTATAAAGAACCAAAACATCTTTAAAAAAATATTAATGATGATAATAATGATAATAATAACAATAGGATAAAAAAAACGTACTGTACAAACTCGATCAACGTGCCAGACCGCCGCGCAGTATTAATTTCAATTTTAATTACTTCTACCCCACATTAATTGCTTTACGCTCCCTGCTCTGGCGTTCATGCAACTTGCAATGTTATCTCACCTCATATTTCTTACTCGAAAGCGACCTCGCCTTTAACAGTGTGTTTGTTTGTGTGTGTTGTTTTGCTTGTGTGTTTGATTGTGTTGTTTGTTTGTGTGTTGTTTAATTTGTTGCTTTGTGTGTGTTTTCTGTTTGTTTTGTGTGTGTGTTTGTTGTGTTAATGCTGTTATGTGTTTGTTTTGTTTGTGTGTCGTGTGTGTGTGTTGGTTGTCCTTCGGCATATTCGTGTGTTTTCTTGTCCTTCCCTTCGTTGTTCCTATTGTAATATGTTCGTCACGAATTCCACACATGTGTCTCTGTGTGTGTATACATGTGTGTGCGTTTCTGTGTGCCTAAAAAACAACTGTTTATGTGTTTATGTCACTCGCGAATAATCATCTTTCGGTATTGAAAGATTCCAACACCATTTATTGATTCCCTTCAGTTTCCCCTTAAATCCTATTCCCGTTGAAGACTTTTACGCAACGCTAAAACGGGGCGTGATATCCTAAAACCTAAAGTTAATGCTCGCGAAATAGATCATAAACTCTGTACGATTTGAGAATAATGGTTAGACTGCATTAACGAAAACCGTAAAATCCAAATAGAGCGAAGTTTTTATTTGCCTTCAGAATGCCTGTTGGTATTGCCGACGGATCCGAGCGAAATTTTTTCACCTTATTTGGGCAGTTTGCAATGAGGTTCAAACGATCGAAGTGCAGAGGCTGAACGACCTGAACATGTTATGAACGGAGGTTTATTTTCGGTACAAGAGATTATAAAGCTGTTAAGTTGAAAACGCGTGTCTTGCTTATGTCAATGTGCACTTTGTTGAAGAAATGCGTCGGATAATTGTTGCAAATTGGAGTACATGATGTGGGTTGGATGTGTACGTGTGTGTACGAATTTGTGTTGTAGGTTAGTATTGTTTGGGTTCGTATCCGCGCGTGTTAGTGTGTGTTAGTGTGTGTGTGTGTGTGTGTGTGTGTGTGTGTGTGTGTGTGTGTGGTGTGTGTGTGTGTGTGTGTGTGGTTGTGTGTGTGTGTGTGTGTGTGTGTGTGTGTGTGTGTGTGTGTGTGTGTGTGTGTGTGTGTGCGTGCGTGCGTGCGTGCGTGCGGCGTGTGTGTGTGTGTGTGTGTGTGTGTAAGAGAACCAGACAGAAAAGCAGAGAGAGAGAGAGAGAGGGGCAAATAATGAATGAGAGAGAGAGAAATAAACAGACAGACAAACAATACACGGATGGAGAAAGAGATAGAGATAAACAGACAGACAAATTAGAAAGAGAAAGACAGAAAAAAGACATGCCCAGACTCGCCGTCCCGCCAGTGCCGCCGCGACGACTCGGAGCGTGGTCGTCGTAGCTCCATGTGGGTCGTCTGGAGTCGTCTCGGCCGCCGTCAAGTAAGCGAGGAGATAAATGTCGGGGCAGTCAGGCCATAGAGCAAGGGCTGTGTTTATGGTGGACGTTTGTATACAATACATATATGTGGAGGGAGGGTTTGTGTATGTGTGTATGTGTGTGCGTGTGTATGAGTGTGTGTGTGAGTGAGTGAGTGAGTGTGTGTGTGTGTGTGTATGAGTTTTTTGTGTTAGTGAGTGAGTGTGTGTGTGTGTGTGTGTGTGCGTGTGTGCGTGTGTGTGTGCTGTGTGTGTACTGCGCGCGTGTGTGTGTGTGTGCGTCTGAGTTTATGTTTCGTGTTTGTATTTGTATATGTGAGTGTGTGTGTGTATGTGCGCACTCCTAAGTCCGAAAGAGTGAAGCATTACTCTAACAGCCGCTGACCCATTCTCCGTGAACAGACACAGCCACGGGGATTAAGGTTAAGACCCCCTGATGTGAGGCTTAGGAGGGCAAATATTATCCACGAACGTTTTGTAATAAAACTATTGTATCAAGACCGATTTTTTCTAAGAAGACAGGATTGCATATTTATCTACACACACGATGACCCACACTACAACATCAATCCACCACGCGCCACCACAGTACTAGTACCTACCCGCGGCCCTAACAATTACTATACACTATAAACAACCCATATGACGGGGGGGGCGGGGGGCAGCCATATATACCTAAGCGGTATATATATATATTAATATATATATTATAATTTATGTATTTAATATATAAGTAATATATAGCGGCACGTCGGTAGCCGAGGTGGACCCACTCCCGGGCGTACTCCCTACGTACTGTCACCTCACGCTAACCCGTACGTATATGGTACCTATAATAATATATGGTATTTGTATGTATATATAGTAATATATATATCTATAACATATACAACCACACCACACACACTCACTTATTAGACACACACGCCACATACACACACAAAGAACACACACAAACAGGAACACACACAGCCACACACACAGACACACAAAACACAAAAACCACACACACACACACACACCGCACCACACACACAACACACACACACACACACAACCACCACCACACACACACACACAAACACACAACACACACACACACACATATATACATATGTTTTGTGTGTGTTGGTGTGTGGTTGTTGTTTGGTTGTGTGTGTGGGTGTGTGTGTTTGTATGTGTCAGGTGTGGTGTGGTGTTTTATGGTATGTATGTTTATATATATAAATATATAATATATATATATATAATATATATATATATATATATTTATATAATATAGTATTATATATTATCGTATGTATATATATATATTATATATATATATATATATATATATATATATTATATAGATATATATATAGTATATATATATATATTATATATATATATATATATGTTTTATATATGTATATATATATATAATATTGTTTATATGGTATGTATGTGTGTATAAATATTATTATCTTAATACTATATTAATATTATATATATTTAATATATATATATATATATATATATATACTAATGCATCCTCATTATCACTATTATATTACGATGATGAGACTGCTGTTTGTGACAAATATAGAATGATGAGGTAATTACTTTTCACAGTAATTTTCATCACTATTTTCATAATTGTCATCATTTTTTTTTTCTATTACTATTGCTATTGTTATCATTATTATTAATATCAATAATATTGTTATTATCATTATAATTATTATCATCATCATCATATCCTTATTCATTTTTTATGATCTTAGTTGCTGTATTTGGTTTTATCATCACATTATTGACATTACCATTATTATCATTATTAGCTCATAAACTGAGGAATGGGGTTCCGCCGGTCATACCCGTGGTGTGCAATTGTCGACATGAAAAATCTCAAAATTGTTTTTATTGACGTGAAATAAAAACTGCATGGAGAAGTATAGGAAAATCAAATGATAATTCATTAATTATCTCAGTTCAGGCGCGGTGATTGAAGTTGCCTGAATTGCCAAACATCATTTTAAAATATATAGGAACGACACACAGGTTAAAAAGAGTATAATATGATGTAAGTGGCCGTTACACGCGGTTCGCTTTACGATTTGTCACAGTCTATGGGTTGATATCATTATTGTTATTGTTATCATCATTATCATTATTAGTATTAAGGCTGTTGTAGTATTTGTGGTTGCTGTTTTTTTTTTTTTTTTTTTTACCAAGGCAAATTTGTCTAGATTGTTGATTAAACTAACAATATACTACTGCAGAGCGATAGGGATACTTGTTACAATAATATCAGATCTTGAGTGAAAGTTAACAAAGAACTTAGAAGCGGTATTCACAGACGGGTACGACTATTCACGCACCTTTTATTACTGAAATCGATCATTTCCTGCAGCAGCTTTACGTGATTTAATGTGAATATGTTTGTTTATAGTCTACGTGATATCTTTACATGACTTTGGTGTTAATTAAGCCTAGTTTCGTAAGGTGAAGCATTACCCGGTCGTGCGTCTCGAAGATGACTCTGCACTTAAACCTGATTTCGTAAAAAGAACGTGAAGTGACATTTAAAAATAGTTGAAGTTTTTGATCATCTTCATATTAACGGTGATGCATAAACTCTCTCCCTTTTTCTCTGTGTCTTTGTCCGCTTTCTCACTCTTTATTCCCCGTGCTGTTGTTATTCATATTCCGAATTATCTGGAAAAATTATGCTCTCTCTCTCCCTAATAGTAATAATAATTATGATAATTGTACTTCTACTTCTTTAACATTTTTAGCTAGTTTGTCTGTCCAGCTCCCGCTCTTTCACTATCTCCCCTGTCACATTACATATGTATTTTTGTTAGTTTGTTTGTACTACTTTTTTTCTCTCTCTCTTCCTCTCTCATTTTTCTCTTTTTCTCCCTTCCTTCTTTTCGCACAAATATCCATACAAATGTGTGTCTGTACTTGTGAGTCCATATCATTTTTTCTCCTTCTTTGTATCCCTGAATTATTGGCTTTATTTTTATCTTTTATGATTATATATCTTTCTTTCTTTCTATTGCGATGACTTTACATGGTGTATATATATATAATATATATTATTATATATATATATATATATATATATAATATATATTATATTATATTATATATTTTATATATTTAAACCAAAATTTGTATATATCTTTCATCTATCTTTCTGTTTTCTCCTTTATGTGTACTTGTGTATGGCATTTGTGTATGTATATACTCTTTTTATCTTTATTCAGTTCTTGCTGATCTACATAGGAATAACTGAGTTATGTTCCTTAACTTTTTTCTTTTTTTTTCTACTTGTCCCTGTCTATTTGCATTGGAATGAAGGAGAGGAAAATATAGCGTAGTTAATGGAAATGAGATATATTTGTAGAAGAATCAACAATAAAACAGTAAAAAAATAGCAATACAATATAACTATGAAGAGTTGATGACCGTAGCGGTATCATCTGTGGACTTATCCAGGTGGATAATTGACTAAGGCCCGGAATAAGTGTTACTAGGTGGGCTGTAGTTTCCATCTGGGGCTCCACCTCCCGAACCGCCTCCGATTCCACCTCCTGAACCGCCGCCGAATCCACCTCCTGAACCGCCGCACCGAATCCCACTCCTGAACCGCCGCCGATCCCCTCCTGAACCGCCGCCGAATCCACCTCCTGAACCGCCGCCGAATCCACCTCCTGAACCACCTCCGAATCCACCTGCGCCTCCACCCAGGCCACCACTTCCTGCTCCACCAGCCCCGCCGATAACCTGGCCACCGCCGTTGGCAGCGGCTTGGAGGGCAGTCTGCAGATCCACACCAATGGGCAATTGGGGATTCTCGCCATCAGCATAGTTGACGAAATAGACCTCAGGATCGGAAGGAGGAGGAGCTGTCACTTCGATCACCCGCTGGCCTCCTCCGCCGTCGTTCTTGTTCAGGACGTAGATGATGTTCTCCTGCCTTGGCGGAGGAACGATGACGGGGTCAGGTCCTTCGCCTTGCTCTGGAAGGCGGACGAAGACAATGTTGTGCTCGACTTTGGGCGGCGGGATGCTCGGCGGGGGGCCGCTTGGCTGCTGAGGCTGGTCGGGAGCGTCGTAAACGTAGACGTTTCGCGAGATTATAGGTGTGACGCATGAACCGTCCACGTGTTGAACCTCTCCATCCCTACATCCTCCGCCACCACCTCCATATCCACCGTTACCTCCCCCGCTAGAGAATCCACCACCTCCACCGCTGGAGAATCCTCCACCTCCACCGCTGGAGAATCCACCACCTCCACCGCTGGAGAATCCACCGCCTCCACCGCTGGAGAATCCACCGCCTCCACCGCTGGAAAATCCACCACTGCTGGAGAATCCACCACCTCACCGCTGGAGAATCCACCGCCTCCACCGCCGGAGAAACTTCCACCTCCGCTGCTACCTCCGTGAGAAAATCCTTGTCCAGAAGGCGAGGACAAAGAGTACCCCTGAGGCGCTGCAAGGGCCACGGCGACGGACGCCGAAAGCAGAACCTGTTGAATAAGAATAAATAATTAAATAAATAACATAAATAAGTAAATAAACAAAATAGAATAAAATAAAGGTGTGGATTAAATTTCAATATCATTTCCTAAACATAGGATTGCATATTTTCATAATTTCATATAACGACTTTCATATAACATATGTAAACAACATATACGGCATATTCTACAATTCGTACGTCCTATGAAGCATATTCTTATTGTTACATTAGTCATATACAAAAACAAACATTTACAGCATACAATACAGATGAACCTATATCTTTTACACAATTGCTTTAACAT